CAGGAGCCACCATGCAGTGCCTGCTCATGGCCTCGCACCTCTGCTCACCTCCTCGGCCATGCCAGGGGCCATGGCACCTGCTGGGGGCAGGAGAGCCATCCTGAGCACATGCTGCTGAGCTGCGGGTGAGCCGAGCTGGGGAGGGTCAGCCTTGTTCCACAGCCTGGCCAGCTCTGAGCAGGCGGCGTCTGACCGGTGGTGGGACAGCTGCCATGGGGCCACAGTGCCAGGGGCCATGGGATGCAGCAGAGCAGGGCGGCAGGGGTGTGTGTGTGTGTGTGTGCGCGCGCCACGGGCTGGGGGGGTGCAGGGGAGCAGGGTGGTGCATGGGTGCCAGGGACACCAAGGGTGCTCCAGAGCAGGGGGTCGGGGTGCTGACAGTGCCTTTGACCACTCCTTGCTCATGCTTTTTGCCGTGGGCGCTGCTGGGGCGCAGCTCTGAGCTTGTTCCCAAGTCTCTCCCATGCCGAAGATTCCCTCCTCTGTCCTTCCCACCGTTCATTTTTGGCAGCCTCCAGGCTGCACCTGAAACACGGGGACTGTGACATCTGTCATTCCCAGACAACCTATTGCCTTTCCCACTTGTCCTGAGCATGCCAGCCCCCTGCCAGCCCCCCACCAACCCGCGGTGGCAGGCAGAGGGTGCTCCTTAGCAAGGACACAGGCAGGGGCCAGGGAGCCTGCCTGCGGGGGGTGGCCCTGGGACCATGTGGGGGCACAGTGTCCGGCAGCACGGGCCCTGTGGTGGTGTCAGAGCACGCTTGGCTGAGGTGTGACAGTGACAGGAAATCACATTAGCTGGGGGGGACAACACACAGGACATGCATCCGCCCACCCACTTGCCACCTCTGTTGTCACAGCATGGCAGCGATGGCTGACTGCGGGGGTGAGTCCCACGGGGGACCCACTACCCCAAAGGACAGGCAGGGACAGGGAGGCTGTGCCATGCTGGGGACGAGGAGGCAGTGCTGGAGACAGGGAGGCTGTGCTGGGGACAGGGCGGCTCTGCCATGCCGGGACAGAACATCTTTCTCAGATTCTCATCGTTCTTCATTCTTTCATCTCTGGTGGCATTGTCCCAGAGGACACAGTGAGGACGTGTCCCATCTGCCTGGCACTGCTGGCGGTGACCCAGCTGCTGTGACTCAAGGTAAAGCTTCTGGGGACCCAGCACTGCAGTCACGATGGGCTCAGCCCCCGTGTCTGTGCCGGGGGTGCAATGGGAGCCCTCCTGCTCTTGGGACAGAGGAGCAGCAGCCACATTTTACACCTAGAGAAACTGAGGCACTGGGCTACAGGGGGCTGCTGGAGTCGCTCTGGGTCTGCCCACCACGCTGCCAGCA